TTTCCTTTTATTTCTGTTTTTCATCTTTTCCTTTTATTAATTTTCATTAAAAGATTTTTTTTCTTTAAATCACACTAAGCGGTTCTCGGGGTCACTCCCAGTGGTACCTGGCGTGTTGGAGCCATGCTTCCCTTATGGAAAGGAAGTGCTTCAGCCTTTTGATCCCTTCTCTCAAGAGAAGGTTTACTGGGTGGGTTCTTCACTCTCACCCTGTCACTGTCACTGTCACTGTCCTCCTGTTGTTCATCGATTTTGCTCGAGCGGGTCCAGTAATGTCTCCATTTTGATTTATTGTTACCGTGTTGGCATATTGAATACGTCACGAGTAGCTTGCCAGGCTTTGCCATGCGGGCGAGATACTCTCGGTAGCTTGCCAGGCTCTCCGAGAGGGGCGGAGGAATCAAACCCGGTTTGGCTGGGCTGACTGCGTGCAAGGCAGACGCCCTACCACTGTGCTATCGCTCCAGCCCACCCTATCGTCTTGAATATGACATTTAGCTAGTAGCTATAAAATTGAGCAAGACAGTACAATCTTTTTTTTTAATTGATTTACCATGAATATACAATTACAAAGCTGTTCATGGTTGGGTTTCCGGCATAGAATGATCCAAGCCCATCCCTCCACCAGTGTACATTTCCCGCCACCAATGTTCCTACCTCCACCAGCACAGTCTTGACTGATGGTGGCTAGCCCCATGCCTAGATATACAAATACACGGATACAAAAACTGTATTTGTCCTTGGGGATTTGAGGTAACCTTAGGATTATGTTGTTGGTTTTATGCTCTACTCCACCTTATTTCCACACTAGTGGATGGTGTCCAGGGTGTAATCCAGCCCTTTGAGCTGTCTCTCTGGCCCTTCTTGGCCTTTTTATACCTGGTTCTCCAGTATCTTTATCTTCCTAGCCATGATCAAGAAACTTGTTCTTATCTATTTAACCATGAATGTGGGAGGAGTATGTCATTATAGTTAGCTTTTGACTATACTGAAACAACTCTTTCTTTTTTTTCTATTTTGCTTTTTGGGTCACACCCAGCGTTGCTCAGGGGTCACTCCTGACCCTACGCTCAGGACTTAGTCCAGGTGGTGCTTGGGGGACTGTATGGGATGCCGGGGATTGAACCTGGGTTGTACACCTGCAAAGCAAATACCGTACCTGCTGTCCTGTCACTCCAGCCCCTTGAAACAACTCTTACCTTTACCTGAAGAGCTGGTTGAGGCAGGTTGTAAGTAGTAATGTAAGATTTTCCGTACATTAGTCCAGACCTTTATCCCAAAGGAAAGCCAAAGTTGTTTGAGTTGTGAGTGCTTCTTAGCTGATGGGTATTAGCAACTGGTGATTACTTGTCAGGCTAGTTAGATTCAAACTACTGACCTTGAACAGAAATGTTTTGTAAGCTGTGACTCATCTTTTGACTAATTTTCTTTTCACCAGGAAATATACTGATTATTAACTTCAGGAATTTCAGCAATCCCTTTTGAAGAGTGTGTTGAGTATTGAAGTTCTGGATAGGGCTCAGCGCCCTGGTACAGTGGGTAGGGTGCTTGCCTTGCATTTGGGATCCCCAGTATCCCATTTGGTCCCCCAAGCACCATCAAGAGTAATTTCTGAAGGCAGAGCCAGGAGTAACCCCTGAGCATCGGCTGGGTATCGCCCAAAAACTTACCCCCAGATAAGCCCTGGGCATCACTGGGTGTGGCCCAACCTCCCCAAAATTGAAAAAAAAAATTTCTGGGTCAGGGGCTGGATTATGTTGTTGGATTATTGTTATTGATAGAGCATTCTCTTGCCTGCTGTTTACCCAGGTTTGAATCCCGATCATTCCACATGGTCTCCCAAATCCACTGAGTGTGTAGTTAGGAGTAAGCCCTGAACTGAACGCTTGGGTGTGGCCCGCACCCCCAAGAAATTTCTGGACAAGATTGTTTTTCTGGTAACGAACAGGGCCACAAATTGGTTTCTACTTGGTGTGGTGCTGAGTTCATGTGCAAACAGAGATATCTGATGGACTGTCTAGAGAATGAAACCATCCTTTCTGACTCTCAGAGGTTCATCTCCCCCGAAGGAATGGAGATAGAGAAGGGAACTCTTGAGGCTAAATAGAGCAGGTGCTGTGTGTGTGTGTGTGTGTGTGTGTGTGTGTGTGTGTGTGTGTAAATATCCGATCACTGTTTACAGTACACTGGACTCTCTTTATGCAAGGCCTGGTCAGGCCAAACCAGGAGGAATTGTTCCATGCTTGAAGCCAAGAATAACATCCTGACCAGCAGGGGACAGAGGTCAACTCAAGGCAATAGCTCTTGGGAGCTATGGGACATTAAGAATTTGAAGGAATTGGGGCTGGAGCAATAGCACAGCGGGTAGGGCATTTGCTTGCACGTGGCCAACCCTGGTTCGATTCCCAGCATCCCATATAGTCCCCCGAGCACTGCTAGGAGTAATTCCTGAGTGCAAAGCCAGGAGTAACCCCTGTACATTGCCGGGTGTGACCCAAGAAGCAAAACAAACAAACAAGAATTCGAAGGAATTGAATTTAATAAGGAGAACAAAACTTGTGTCTCTTATGGTACATGATTTATGAAAAATGAAAATCCAGTTAGATGTGCTGTCCATGTAACTTCCTGCCCGTTAATTAAATCCCCCCAAATATGCACACACATACACATGGGTTCATTATTTTTGTTAAAATTTTGTTTTGGTTTTTGAACCACCCTCTGGTGCTCAGGGCTCATTCCTGGTTCTGCGCTCAGGGATCACTCCTGATGGAACTTGAGGGACCATGTGTTGGGTATCAAGTCCATGTCAGCCGCGTGCAAGGCGAGTGTCTTACCCACTGTACTATCTCCCTGGCACCTTGAAACATTTTTTCACTTAACATTGTTTTTTTGGTTTTAAATAAGGCTATGTCGTGGTGCTGGTGGCAGAGTACAGGGTGCAAGGTCACTGCTGTTGATGCTTGCCCTGGAGGAGTGTGGTGAGAGTTGGCGTCGTGCTTGGACCCAGTACTGCTCAGGAGCCATGGGTGGGGGCCCCAGTGGCTCCCCTGGTGGGACTGGAGACTTAACTTGGGCCTTGCACATCTGAGGTAGCATGAGCCCTGTGTCTGGAGATACCTCCCCAGCCTTGTTTATTTTTATTAAAAAGGGGGAAATTGTGTTCTAGTAATTGGATTTATTCTTCAAGCAGCGTCAGAGAAGCCCAGGAGACGGCTGGCTTTCAAGGATGATATGTTAATTTAAAAACAACTACCCTGTACAAAATGTCCTGGGTACTTTCCAGGCTGGCTGAAGTTTTATTTCTAGGATCTCTCTGTACTCGCCTCTCTTCTTTTCCCTTCCGTCTTTCCTCATTCGGATGCTGGCCGCTCATCCTGTGGAGGCAGCTCCCCCGTTCTCTGGGGGAGCATTCTAAGTTTGTGCTGTTGTCTTCTCGGGACTTAGTTCTCTGGTCTGGCTTCAGCTGATTCTAGGCCAGTGTGATCATCTGACAGCTTTTCTTCATGGCCTTCACTTCTTGGCCCTTTTAATACCCTGCTTGATTAGTCTCGCTAGTTCTCTCTTTTCCCAGTGTAAAACTTGCATTGCTTCGGTTGGAAGGTTCTGAAGTTCAGGTGGAGCTCTGGGCTTTTAGAATTCACTCTGGTTTAGAGAGTGCCTCTTTCTTTCCTAGAAATTGGGGTTGAGTCAGAAGCTCTATGGCGAGTCCTGCTGACTCTCATGAGATGCTACTTCGCTGGTTGCTTAAGCTGTTATGTGGCAATTTGGGTTGTATTTTTCAAGGCAGGACTTTCTGCCAAGATTGAAATGAGGTACAAACCGCTGTTCCCTTTCTCCCCTTCCCTTTCACTTGAAAAATTAGAAGTGAATTATCTTGTCCATGATCAGTCACCTAGTGAATTGGCCTTACACTTTTTTTTGTTACTTGTACTTTGTAGCACAGATTTCAACTAATACATTAAAATACTTAATTATGGGTTCATTAGTTCGTCGACATGGTCAGAAATTTAGAATATGTGTGCACAAGATCCTTCTGTAAATCTATTTTAAAACCAAGAAGCAGGTATTTTGGTTAGAGTAGAAGTTGGTAGCTCAGTAGGTCGAGCTCATGCTTTGATCCCAGCACTTTTGTCCTGGCACCTGCCACCAGGTGTGACCCAAATGCGAAACAAAACAAACTGAAATGGAGTGGAAACTGCTTATAATGTTAAGAGAAAGAGGATGAGAGAAGATAATAGAACATAGGACTGACTCTAGAAGTAAGCATCTTTGCAGTTCGGGATCAGACAGTGAGAGTAAGTTTCTCCCACTCTCCCTCAATATTCTGTTCCTTGTCCCCCCACAAACCACTGTCAGGAAGCCCCACTCGTGATTCTGGGTACTAGCGTCCTGTTGGGGGCCGTGCGTGCAAAGAGGTACAAAGAGGTCTTGGTCCTGTGGGGGTCAGTCAGTGCAAAGAACCGTTGGTCTTTTGAGTTGTTGATTCTTCATAATAATCTTGTTCTCGCAAGTAGTACAGCTAATTCCAAAACCAGAACCATTTTCTGAGCCCCGTTGGCTTGCTGAGCCCGGAGCAGCAGCTGAGATGATACACCGCTTTGCACCTTATGCAGTGACCCTCCAGAGGCCCAGCCACCTTTTCTCCCTCTTAAAAAGCAGCAGCGAGACCCAAAAACATTGTGTTTTTTTGTTTTGTTTTCTCCTTTGGGTCAGGAATTTGCATCTCATTTGTAGCCTTAATCCTCCCCCTCATTATTTTTGTTTTTTCATCCCTGTACTAAGTTCTGCTCTCTGAATCTTGCTCTGCCCTCATTCAGTTGCATAATTTAAACAAATTTTAGCTTCAGACGTGTTTCCAACTTGGTCTTTCCCTTCTCGTGGGTAAACTGGGCCCAGACTTGCCTGGAAAAGAATGCAGGTCTTTTTTTTTTTTTTTTTTTTTTGCTTGTGTAAATTCACTGCCTACTTACTAATTGTTCTTTGCTTTCTTTGTCAAACAGGCCACCAAGCAGTTTCTTGAAGAGATCAACAGTTGGACTGTTCAGTACAATGTTTCCCCTCTCTCTTGGAATGTGGCTGTCAAGTTCCTCATGGCCCGGAAGTTCGATGTGCTCCGAGCCGTAGAGCTGTTCCACTCCTACAGGGTACGTTGCCTGCAGAGCCCGGACTTGTGGAAGCTGGGCTTTGTGGGCAGCTCTTCTGCTGTTCTGCCGCTCTGCAGACACTGTGTCTCTCCATGGTCACGTCCACTCCCTTTTTCAGAAAAGTGATTCAGACCCAGCCAGGCACTTTGAGTCAGAAAATTCTGTTTTATGGGCCACACCCAGTGGTGCTCAGGGCTGAATCCTGGCTCTGTGCTCAGGGATCACTCCTTCTTGGTGGGGCTCCGGGGGTCCTATGGGTGCCAGGGATCGCACCCAGATTGACTCTTGTGCTAGGCAAATGCCCTCCCCACTCTCCAGCCCCAGCCTGTTTTTCCTTAAGAACAGAGACTGACCTAACCAGATTTGCATTATGGAAAGATCTTTCTCACTGTGCCTGGAGAATAGTTCAGAAGAGCCCTGCAGGAGACAAATCAATTAGGAGACTTTTGAGTTTAGTAGGGAAACAGATGACTATGGTGTCATTCATTCATTGAGCTTAATGTCAGGAGAATGAAAACCAAAAGTGGGCAGATTCTAGAAGAAAATTGGTACCACGGAGATACCCAAGTTGATGTGTGAGGAAAGAGGAGTCCAGGCTCTAGATCTCAGACTTGGGTTGCAAGTAAATGGGTGTAGGGTTCACTTGTTTAGGGGAAACGGAAGTGGGTTCTGGTGTGTGGAGAGGTCATGAGTTTAGTTTGACCTTTTGAACTTGACGTTAGAGCTGGGTTTCTCTGGGGATGAGTTTATTCATCTAATACAATTCAGTGCCCAGCACCTAAATAGTTGCTCTACAGATATTTTTTTTTGAATGAATGAATGAGCCTGACTCTGAGTGAACCAAGTGAATGAATTAATTGAATGAGCAAATGAGTGCATAGAGGCTCATGTTAGAAACTTAAGAGTGGTTAAGGGGCTGGAGCAATAATATGGCAGAAAAATCTCTTGCCTTGCACACAGCTGACCTGGTTTGATACCTGGCATCCCATGTGACCCCCCAAGCACTTTCTGGGTGATTCCTGAGTACAGAGTCAGGAGTAGTAATCCCTGAGTGTCATTAGGTGTGGCCCCAGAACCAGATGGCCAAACAAAAACCTGGGTTAGTGGTTGAAGAAATGAGGAAAACTAGAGCATATTCCCTATCAAGATACAGTCTCAGGGAGAAGGAAATGTGGGTGATAAGAAAGCTCTGTAGCAGTGGTTCTACATGGAAAGTATCATGCTAAGTGAAATGAGCTAGAAAGAGAGGGACAGACATAAAGAGACTGCACTCATCCGGGCAATATAAAGTAACAGAATGGGAGTCTAACATCCAAGAATAGTTGAGGTAAGTATCAGGAGGTCTGCTCCAGCCTGGAAGTCGGCAGCACATGCTGGGGGAAAAGGCAGCTCAGACAGAGAAGGGAACACCAAGTAAAGGACGTTTGGAGGACTCGCTCGGGGTGTGAGATGTGTGCTGAAAGTAGACTATAGACCGAACACGATAGCCACTCATACCTCTATTGCAAACTCCAAGACCCTGAAGAATGAGTGAGCAAAAGGGAATGCCCTGCCACAGAGGCGGGGTGGGATGGGGGGAAGGGGTGTGGGGATGGGAGGGCTACTTGGATCATTGGTGGTAGAGAATGGGCACTGGTGGAGAGATGGATACTCGATCATTATGTAACTGAAACCCAAGCATGAAAGTTTGTAAGTCTACAACTGTACCTCATGGTGTTTCACTAATAAAAAATAAATAAACAAAAGCAAGAAAAAAAAAAGCACTGTAGCACTGTCCTCCCGTTGTTCATGGATTTGCTCGAGTGGGTACCAATAACGTCTCCATTATGAGACTTGTTACTGTTTTTGGCATATTGAATACGCCATGGGGAACTTGTCAGGCTCTATTGTGCAGGCGGGATACTTTGGTAGCTTGCTGATACTCTTGGTAGCTCACAGTCTCAGGGAGAAGGTAATAGGAGTGATAGAAAGAATGAAAATGGGGGCCGGAGCAATAGCACAGCAGGTCGGGCGTTTGCCTTGCACGCGGCTGACCCCGGGTTCGATTCCCAGCATCCCGTATGGTCCCCTAAGCACTGCCAGGGGTAATTCTGAGTGCAGAGCTAGGAGTAGCCCATGTGCATCGCCAGGTATGACCCAAAAAGAAAAAAAAAACAAAAAAAACAAACCAAGAATGAAAAAGTCCTCTGAGTTTGGTGACAGGTTAGTCCTGGTCACAGTAGTAGGAGCGATTCAGTTGGGAGAAAATGAGAATAGAGTGAACAGTATGGGAACGGAGAGTGAGTTGCAGAGTCTGGCCTGGCGGTGAGAATGAGGCTCTGATGGAGGTGATTGGAGAGGTCCAGGGAAGCCTTGGGTGCTCTGTAAGACGGAACCGTAACCCTCTCTGGGGCCCATATTTACTTGGCCTGTTGCAGTAGTAGTGTGCTGCATGTTTAGTGCACAGACCCCACGCTCCGGTGCTCTGTATAGGTTGGTCCGCAGGGTTCAGGATTCTTACTGACTCCAAAGGAAAATGCCTTACCTAAGGGATTGAATTTTTTGCAACACTAGATAAAAATTCTGATACTACTCATTAGACTTTGTGGGGGAGAGTTTCAAAGGAGTTCATGTTTCAGTTAGCTGACTCCTGAAAGTTCCTTAGATTTGGTGGGTTACACAAATCTGTCCTGGATTTGTCCTGGATTAATGAATTATTAACTCACTTCTTACTCATTTATCTTGCTGTGCTTTATTTTTAGGAAACAAGAAGGAAGGAAGGCATCGTCAAGCTGAAACCGCATGAGGAACCTCTCCGTTCTGAGATCCTTAGTGGAAAATTCACCATCTTAGTGAGTCTTTGTGGACCCTTGCTGTAGTGTCTTGTCATTTCTGTTTGTAGTTGTTCTCTCCCTTGGACTTGGCTTCTGGATACCTTCTTCTGAATCGCGCGTCCAGTCTTTGGGAGGAGATGTGAAGCAACCGTGCAGTTTGAAGTTTGCAGCAATCAAATTGGCTAAAAATGAGTTGTGTAATATATTTCAGAACAGTTTCTCCTTGATTGCATTAAGATTAGCCAGATCCTATAGAATGCATGTATAGTGTCTCAGAGGTATATCGGTTCTTATGTAACACGACCTTTAACCGCCTTGAGCCTTAACCTTTCAGATGCTCGTACTGTGGTACCTTTAAGACAGTGTGTTGAGAGCGTGGTTAGATTTTATGCTTTTCTTGTTTCTCTTGTGATCCTGCCTTGTAAACCAGAGTAGAGCCATCCTTAAATCTCTGTAGCTGAAGACTTGAGCTGGTTCCCCCACCCCCTCCCTCTCCTTCCTGCCCTGCAAAAGTAAAAAAAGTGGGGGGCTAAGGAGATAACCCGAAGGGCAGGAGTACATACGTGGCATGTTGTGGACCCAGGTTCCATACCTCCAGCTTCTCCTGCTCTCCTGAGCACTTTTTTGGGGGGCGTCATTCCTGGCGATGCTCAGAGGTTATTCCTGGCTCTGCACTCAGGAATCACTCCTGGCAATGCTCGGGGACCATATGGGATGCTGGGAATCGAACCCAGGGTGGCCATTTGCTAGGCAAAAGCCCTACCCGCTGTGTGCTATCACTCCGGCCTATCCCCTGAGCACTTCTGTGTGCAGCCCCCAACATCAAGACAGGATTAGTCCCTGAGCACAATTGGATGGAGCCCCAGACTCAAAGCAAAGATTAATTTTGTTCCTACCACAGGTATATAATACTGAAAGAATTGCGTGTGGCAGGAACAACCCCTGAACACAGAGCCAGGAGTAGCCCCCAAGCACCGCTGGGTATGGTCCATCCCACCCCCATAAACAAGCAAAACGAGTCGTGCATAGGATGATATAGAAGCTCCTTCCTGGAGACGTGGATGTGAGTCAAAGAAATGCTCCACAGTCTGTTCTCTTAAGTTACACCTTTGCCAAGGGTCTAAGAAACATCAGTGATAGGAGTTTTCTTTTGATTTCCAAATGTTGTTTTGTTTCATCTAGAATGTTCGAGATCCAACAGGAGCCTCCATCGCCCTCTTCACTGCCAGACTGCATCACCCCCACCAGTCAGTCCAACATGTGGTACTTCAAGCTCTGTTTTACTTGCTGGACAGAGCCGTGGATAGGTGAGCATGAAGATTATCTCTTAGGTGGTCTGCGTCCAGATAGACAAGTGCCAGCCTATGGCTTGGTGCAACGTTTTAGTGCCGTCATGCCCCTAAGATAAACTTTAGACTGTGCTGTGAATAGAAAATCGCACCTGTCCCTGAGGGTTTGGCATGTTTCCAGGTATGATTGCGGTGGTGGTGGTGGTGGGTGTTCTGTATCTTTGCCTGGTAGGCTCTATTTCAGGTCACAGAAGCTGAGAAAGACAATTCCTTAGCAGTCCTCAGTGTGTTGAGAAATACTGTTGGAGAGAGTGAAGGGAAGATGATTCGTGCTAGTTCTTTTGGCACATTCTTCCCTACAGATTGATTCCTCTCCCCCTCCCCCCTTCTTTCCTCCTCTCCCCTTCTCCTCGCCTCCTCCTCTCCTCTCCTCTCCTCTCCTCTCCTCTCCTCACTTTTCCTTTCCTCTCCCCACTTTTCCTTTCCTTTCTTTTACCTTCTTTTCTCTTTTCTCTGTTGTTTTTGTTTTTGGGCCACACCCGGCAGTGTTCAGGACTTATTCCTGCCTGCCTGCTCAGGGGTCACTCCTGGAGGTACTGAGGAACCATATTTTTAGGTAGTTGGGTTGGCCATGTGCAAGGCAAATGCCATACCCACTGTACTATCACTTTAGCCCCATAAAGATTGATTTTTTAGGGCTTTGCTTTATTTGCGTGTGAAATGGATAGAAAGTCACTTTAACGCAAAAGGTTTTTAGAATCAGCGTTAAGGAAGGAGATCCTAAAGACATAAAACTAAGTGAAACCATTGTTTTGTTTTTTGGGGGGTTATACCCAGCAGTGCTTGGGGCCTACTCCTGGTTTGGCTAAGGGGTCTTACAGGCAGTGCTAGGAGAACCCTGTTGTGACAGGGTCACCCATGCCTCCTGAATCCCAAGCTTACACTTTAGTCGTGTGAGGTTTGACTCACAAAATCATCTTTATGAACCGGTATGTAAGTGAAAAGAACCAGCTTTGGGCTGGGGGGATGGCTTAGTGGTAGAACACATGCCTAGTCTGTGAGATCCTGACTTCAGTCCTCAGCACCACACAAGCGCACGCACATAAGAATCAGCTCAGGCCATCTGTCCATCTCCCTTTATTATAATTCTACAGACAAGGAGACTGAAACACCAGTAAGTTGTATTGGTCATATATAATTATTACATGCTGGCACAATTAGATCAATTACTCTTGGCCAGAGAGTGGGGCTCTCCAAGTAGTAGAGCTAGGTGAAATCTTGAGGTTATATTTTCTGTTTTCCTTGGTGCAGGCCATTTGCAGTTACTGCTTTTGTGGTCATTTGGGTAGAAGTGGTCCATGGAGGGATGATCGTACAACAGGTAGGACGCTTGCCTTGTATGTGGCTGACCAGGGGTCGATCCCTGGCACCCCTTAGGTCTCCTAATGGCTCCCCAGAGGTGATCCTTGACCACAGCCAAGAATAGGTCAAGAGCACTGCTGGGTATGACCTCCCAAACAAACCAAAACTGAAAATAAGCAATGGTATATTGAGGGTTGAGACCAAGTCAGTGGTAGACGGCTACTTATGGGATTGCCTGAGTAGGGCCTCTCTTAATTCACTCATTGCTCTCTCCGGTGAGTATTAGCTCTCACAGGAGAGCCACATAGATAAACATAATTGAAACTTGGTTTTTATGATGTCCATGTTTTTAAAAAAGCCTCAGTGATGGGTTGGAGACATAGCCCAATGGGCCAATGGGTTGAGTGTGTCCTTTGTATGCGGAGGCCAAAGTATTACATTTGGCATCACAGATGGTCCCCCAAGCATTGCCGCAGTGATCCCGAACACAGAACCGGGAGTAGTAGCCCTAGGTGCTGTGCTGGGTGTAGCCCCCAAAACCAAAAACAGCAGCTACAACAGAAATTTTACAGTGACTCTTCACTAATCACAGGCAACATGTAAGATAAATAATTATGAGCCCCTTCCTTGTCCTCTTTTTTTTTTTTTTGTATTTTTCTTGGGTGGGGGGTTAAACCCAGCAATGCTTAGGGGTGACTCCTGGCTTTGATGGTGCTTGAAGGACCATATGGGATGCGGGGGATGAATCCAGGTCGGCTATGTGAAAGACGAACCTACCTCTGTACTATCCAGTCCTTCTTGTCCATTCTTAAGTCCTAATTTTAATTAATTAATTATTTTGGGGGGGGGCGCATAGCCCATGGTGCTCAGGGACCAGTTCTGGCTCTGTTACTTCCAGTGGTGTTCAGGGGTCTTGTGGCGCTGGTGATCAAATCTGGGCCCACCACATGCTAAGTATATGCTCAGCCTGCTGTACTTTCCAGCCTGTCCTGCTTCCCGTGACTAGTTCCTTATCACTCGAACCTGCTATGAATTATCTTCTTACTCTAATAGCAGAATTCCTAATACTCATCATGTTCTATTTAGTTGGTTTTATGTTACTTTCCTTTCGTGTTGTTTTTATTCTTCTCCCATTTGATTATAAGCTCCTTGAAGACATAAATGCAGAATATCTTCTTTCAAATATTTTATATTAGAAGATTTCTAAATCTCTACAGGTGAAGAAGAAATGTGATCACAAACTTCCTGATACCAGTCTTGTTTCATTGAAAACCCTTCCCCTGCCTTTTGCCCTCAATTATCTTTATCACTGTCACCAACACTGTTCCTCCTGTTGTTCATCGATTTGCTCGAGCGGGCCCAGTAAATTCACCATTGTGAGACTTGTTGTTACTGTGTTTAGCATACTGAATACGTCAGGGAAGCTTGCCGGGCTCTCCGAGAAGGGCGAAGGAATCGAACCTGGATCAGCCGGGTTGGCCGCGTGCAAGGCAAATGCCCTACCCGCTCTGCTATCGCTCCAGCCCAAATTATCGCAAGGTCAACCTAAAGTCAATCTGCAGCAGTTATTTTTTATATTTACTTTATATTTGGTTTGGGTCCACATTCTGATATGCAGAGACCATTTCTTGTTCTGTGCACAGGGGTCACTCCTGGTAGAGCTTGGGGAACCATCTGGTGTTTGAACCTGGGACAGTTGAATGCAAGGCAAATTCCTTAATTCATCTTCTGTCGCTCCAACATCTTAATCTTTTGTTTCATTTATTTTTCATTTCCTTTCTTTGGTGGGCCTCACCTGGCAGTGCTGGGAACCATTATATGGCGCCAAGATTCCGCCTGTTGTCATGGCCACGGGCACATGCAAGGCAAGTGCCTCGAGCTCTGTATTCTCTCTCCAGTCCTCGGGACTTTAAAAGAATAATTTTTATTTTTTCAATTTCTTTCGCTTTGGAACCACACCTTGAATTTTCTCAGTTCTTAGTGTTGACTCACTGCTCAGGGATCACTCCTGCCAGTGCTGTAGGGGGCCGTATGCAGTGCTGGGGATCAAACTTGAGGGCAAGGCAGGCACTCTGGACTGTGCTATTGTTGTATTGCTGTGTCGTTGGTCTGGCTTTTAGACAAATATCAGGATTGTGTGGTTTTTTTTTCTGGTATCCCTGGCAGCATCTAGTTCAGGAATTGAATTGAACAGGGAAAGAATTATTAGTAGTAGAAAATTAGCTATTGTTATTGTTAATATTATCATTTGGGGGTTTGTTTTGGTTTTTGGGTCACACCTGGAGATGTTCTGGGGTTTCTCCTGGCTTTCATTCGGTGTTTGGTGGGCCATACAGGATGCCACGGATCAAACCTCAGTTGGCCACGTGTAAGGCAGATGCCCTACCCACTGCACTGCCACGTTAGTCCCTAGAATTATTATTAGTGAAACTCATGTTCTGTATCTAGAAAATGAAAAATCCTGTTGTGTGTGGATTTTTGTTTCGTGTTCCTCGCAGGATGGACAGTTTCCAGTCCAGGATTATCGAATCTGCGTAATAATGTGCCGTAACTTCATTCTTTAAAGTCTTTGTGTGGCACTGCCTTCTTTCTGTCTCAGTGCCCTTGCATAGCCTAGAACTGTGAAGGGAAACTTAAGAGTTTTTTTTGGTTTTGTTTTGTTTTTATTAAATTTTTTTATTAGTGAATCACCGTGAGGTACAGTTACGGACTTACAAACTTTCATGCTTGCATTTCAGTCATACAATGGCCGAGTACCCATCCCTTCACCAGTGCCCATTTTCCACCACCAATGGTCCCAGCATCCCTCCCCCCCCCAATCCCCCCTCCCTCGTCCCCTCCACCCTACCCCGTCTCTGTGGCAGGGCATTCCGTTTTGCTCTCTTTCTCCTTTTGGTTATTATGGTTTGCAATAGAGGTATTGAGTGGCCATCATGTTCGGTCTGTAGTCTGCATTCAGCCCGCATCTCCCATCCTGAGCAGGCCCTCCTAGCACCCTTTGCTTGGTGGTCCCTTCTCTATCTGAGCTGCCTTTCCCCACAGCACGTGAGGCTGGCTTCCAAGCTGTGGAGTAATCCTCCTGGTAACTTACCTCTACTATCCTTGGGTGTTAGTGAGACTTAGAGGTTTTTTTAATGTAGGCCCTTATGAACTTACGGAGAAGTGGGAATTACTCACCCTGCGTTACCTGCTTAATAATTGTGCCATTCATTTAACAGTGTCTTGAACCGTGGGGACAGTCGTCTCTCTGGGATCAGAAGATCAAGGAACGAAGATTTAGCATTAATTGTCAGATGTTAGGGGCCATTTGAAACTGGACCTGGTGGAGAAATTTGAATTTAATGCAGAATCAGAGACTTTTGGATTATATTTTTTTCTGTTTATTTTTGCTTTGGGGCCACCCCTGGTGGTGCTCAGGGCTGACTCTTGGCCCTGTGCTCAACGGTCATTTCTTCTGTGCTTGGGGGATCATTCGGGGTATGGGGCTCGAACCCCTGATAGCTACATGCAAGGCAATCACTTTGTCTGTCATACTATTACTCTGGCCCTAAGTTAAGATTTATTTTTTTTTAATGCTCCTTCATTGCTTGGTGTGCTTGCCATGAATTTTGTTGAAAGTGTCAGCTGAGTATGGAGATTTCTAGGTTGTAAAGCAAAAAGAAAAACGAAAGCTACAAATTAAATCGAGGTTGGGGCTCGAAGGGCTGGTGTGCCTGCTTTGTCACACACGTTTGATCTCAGCACCTCATTCCTCCCAGCACCACCAAAAGCATTGTTGGAGAGAACTCGTAGCCCTGAGTACCACGTGAATACCATCCCTGGCACAAAAATTAAAACACAGACAAAACATTGAGCCCTCCAATTTCAAGAATGGTTTTGTGACAGAATTTTATTTTATTTTTTTTGCATTTTGGGTCACACCCGGCAATGCTCAGGGGTTACTCCTGGCTCTGCGCTCAGGAATTATTCTTGGCGGTGTGTGGGGGACCGAATCAAACCTGGGTCAGCCTCATGCAAGGCAAATGCTCTACCCACTGTGCTACCACTCCAGCCCCCAGAATTTTTTTTTCTTAATTATAAATAGAGGTAGCCAGAGAGACAGTGTAGCAGGTAGGGCACTTGTCTTGCACGCAGCTAACCTGGTTAGATCTCCTAAGCCCCGTGAGGAATGATTCCTGAGCCAGGAGTAAACCCTGGGCAACACTGGGTGTGAACAAACCTCTCCCACCCTCCAAAATTATAAATAGATGTGAAAACTGTTGCTATCATCTGTGAATACTTGCATAAAATTTATTCCTTATAACCTTTGGGATGAGCGGATCAGAAGTAGGGAAGGGTCTGACTTGGTGGGAAAGTTTAATTCTGAGAAATCTTGGAATTAAGGGGATTGAACGAAGGAACGCTGTTCATAGTAAAGTGTTTGATTCGGTTTGGGAACAGGTTGATTTGCAGGGGTGGTATCAGGCCTAGGTATCAAACTCACGTGAAGTATGCTCCCTGCCATTGCTACATCACTGGTGTTTTTGCTTTGTTTTGGGGCCACGCCCAGCAGTGCTCAGTGCTTAACCCTCTCTGTGTACTCAGGGATCACTCTTGTGGACTCCAGGGGCCCCTGTGGGGTGCTGTGGATCGAACCTGCGTACTCGGCAGTTGTACTTGCTACATCTCTGGTACAAATCTGTTTTGGGGGTCACGCCTGCTATTTCTGGGGAGACTGGCGTGCCAGGGAAAGAGCCAGGTCTGTCTCCTGGAAGGCAGGCACCCTAACCCCTGCTCTTTCCTCTCCGGCCCTTAATCTTTTTGTGGGGACAGGTAGGGCCTAGTCCCCAGAGGTCCCACAGGTGAGTGATGCTTGACCAGCCCTGTCTGTGCGTGGTTCAGGGCTAGGAGCTGAAGATACGACGCTGCTTTGACTGTACATTCGGGGACTGTGTGGGCAAAAAATGACTGTCTTTGGCCCCTCAGTCTATTTTACGAGATGCTTTTCATGCACAGTGTGTGGGTTTGACATTACTTGGAGATAATATCAGATCTTAACAAGATCCCCCCCCCCCGTTGCCCCCATTTAAATGCTATTGCAGGTCCAGTTTGTCAGCTGTATTTGTGATGTCCTGTGATAACAGTCTGTAGATCTGAGATTCCAGTCACCTCCCTCCTCGGATTTGATTGATTTGCTAGCTAGAGGCGCTCCCAGACCTCAGAGAAACATTTTGCTTACTGGACTATCAGTTGACAGATGGAAGAGATATGTAGAGTAAGATAGGGGACATGACTGCAGAGACCCTCCCAGGGTGTCCTTGTACTTCAGCCCCGGAGCATCCTGAACCCCACTTTCTTTATTTCCCACCTCCCCACGGCGGTCGCCTTCCGTTGTGTCTGGGAGCAGACTCGAGGAGCCTCACACATGCTGCATGTACCCTCACTGGTGCCATATCTCTGACTCATCTCTAGAGTTTCAGTGGATGCTCCATTCTACAGGCACAGGCCACTGGGGATTATTCGCTGGTGTGGAGATCAGGCTAAAAGTTCTAGCCCACTCATAACCTTTTTGGTTCTCCTTGGAATCTCGGTACACCCAGTTCTTAGGTGACAAACGGGCATTCCTAAAGTAATCACATCAACATAATAGAAGATTACTCTCTTTGGAAATTTTTAGGATTTTAGGAGTTCTGTGCTTCAGAACTAGGTTTAAGATCAGATCTACTAATATAAATCATAGTATTATGATCAACATAGTCGGGGCCAAAGCCTGGCAGGCTCCCCGTGACGTATTCGATATGCCAAACACGGTAACAACAGAGTCTCACAGTGGAGACGTTACTGGGGCCGCTCGAGCAAATCGATGAGCAGCGGGAGGACAGTGCTACGGACAGTGCCACAGTAGGGGCCAGAGAGATGGTACTTTAGGTAGGCTGCCACAGACCCAGGTTTGATTCCTACGGTCTTTTGAGCCCAGCCGGGAGGGATCCCCGAGCACAGAGCGAGGAATGAACCCCGAGCACTGCTGGGTATGGTCCCCATACAAACAATATATTGGGTGTCAAAAAGTAATCTCTTTGTGAAAAGATTATTTCAGGGATGGTAGATATTTTGGTTCCAGATGTGTCCCGTACACTATGTGACTTTGTTTTTGTCCAGATTTTCAGTTGACCCCATAAATCTTAAAAAGCGTTTTTGTTTATTTGTTGGTTTGCAGCTTTGAAACTCAGAGGAATGGATTGGTGTTTATCTATGACATGTGTGGTTCTAATTATGCCAACTTTGAGCTGGATCTTGGCAAGAAAGTCCTAAATCTGCTGAAGGTAAGGATGTGAGAGGACCTTTTCAGTTCACTTCTGTAGTTATGGTATTGTTTTTATTCACTTGGAGGTAGAGGAATGATGTAAATTTTATGTTTATGTTCTTTCTTGAGCATATATTACTCTTTTTTTTTAGACTTTGGAAGAATATTTAATGGCATAGAATAAATCATATTTTATACACTTGCATACAGGATAATAGTTTATTTTTTAATTTTTATTAGTGAAACACCACGAGGTACAGTTGTAGACTTACAAATTTTTGTGCTTGGGTTTCAGTTATACAGTGATCGAGTACCCATCCCTCCACCAGTGCCCATTCTCTACCACCACTAATCCCAATATCCCTCCCACCCCCCATACCCTCATCCCACCCTGCCCCTGTGGCAGGGCATTCCCTTTTGTTCTCTCTCTTCTTTTGGGTGCTGTGGTTTGCAAAAGAGGCATTGAGTGGCAATCATGTTTGGTCTATAGTCTACTCTCGTCACGCATCTCCCATCCTGGGAGGATCCTCCCAACATCCTTTACTTGGTGCTCCTTTCTCTGTCTGAGCTGCCTTTTCCCCTAGCATGTGCAGCTGGCCTCCAAGCCATGGAGTGAACCTCCTGGAACTTATCTCCACTATTCTTGGGTGTTAGTCTCCTATTTTGTTACTTTATGTTCCCCAGATGAATGCAATCTTTCTATGTCCATCCCTCTCTTTCTGACTCATTTCGCTTAGCATGATACTTTCCATGTAGTATCACTTGTATGTAAATTTCATGACTTCATCCTTTCTAACAGCTACATAGTACTCCATGAGCACATATTACTCTTTCTCTTCCCTCACATTTCTCTAAATGTATTTCTTTAGGAAAAACTTCTTTTGCTTCACTGAAAAAAAAAAGGCAAAAGGTCATATGGGAAAGGCTGGAGAAGTCGTATAGGGGTAAGGCACTCGCTTTGCATGCCTCTGACCAGCGTAGGTCTCCAGCACCATATGTGTTTCCCCAGGCACCTCCAGGAGTGACCTGTGAGCACAGAACCAGGAGTAAGCTCTGGGTCCCACAATGTCACCCAGTTCTTTCCCCCCAGATAAATAAAATGAAAAATCATACGATATGTATGCTACTCTATAATCAAATATTGATATTAAAGAATCTTAAATAGCAATATGGTATTTCAGACCAGATTTTGCTGTCCCGCTCATTTTTGTCCCAAACTTAGAAAAGAAACTTGCAGTTTCCAGAGCTGTGGAGGTGTCAGAACTTGAGGATAAGGGAATATAATATAATATGAGAGGATATGGCATACCAAACAGAAATTTCTCACGACAAACTTCACCTTCCTGTGTACAATGCTGATGGTCTGACAGGCCACCGGGACAGGCGGCACGAGACCGTCTTCCAAGCTCCTCACTGCTTGGCGGTGTGCTGTGCCGCTTCCTGTGTGTCTGCTGCAGCAGGTCACCCCCTGGGTACCCTCCTCATGGGGCTTCCCACGGGCTTCAGGTGAGTCTTGCTCTCTCTCTCTCTCTCTCCCTGCCAGAACTGTCCCAACTGCTTTTGTTACTTTTCACTCGGAATTTGGCGTTCAGAGCGCCTCTCAGGGTCTCTAGCCTGCCTCTCCACCAGCTGTGATTTTAGGGTTCTGTGCGTTCTCCCTACCACAGCATCCTCTGTGCTTTTTGGTGGGAGTCACTGAATGGAACTAGAGTTCACTTAGCACCGTGTGTCCAGGGCATCAGCGCTGCTCCAGAGCCGTGGCTTCCCCGCAGGTGTTGCACCGGTGTTCCTGATGAGGTTCTAAGGAAGTGGGATCGCAACCCCTTGCTGCCCTCCTGGGGGAAGCGCTTCCCACCGGGGTTAGCTGCTGGGCCGGCCGTGGCTGAGGTGAAGTGGGGGGATCAGGCCTCTCTGCCCTCCTGGGGGAAGTGCTTCCCACCGGGGTTTGCTGCTGTTGCCAGCGTCCGAGGAGACGAGCTGGCGTGGTGGAGCTGGGCAGGGCTGGCGGCTGGCGGCTGGGAGGAACGGCTTCCCTGCAGAGGTGGCCCCTGTGCGGGCAGGTTCGAGAAAATCTCTTCTCTGATTTTTGCTTCTGTGAACTGAACAGCTATGAATATTTCAACAGGTTGCGTGTATGCAGGAGTTCTCTAGGGCTGTGTTTTCTCAAGTGCTTCATTACACTGCCTCACCAAGGAGCTTTTTAAAAGACCTTTTCTAATGAAATTTTAATACCATAGGTATGTTGAGTATATCTCTATGTATGGGATGTGTATCTGTGTTTTGTACAAAAATAACTCATTTTTCTCGTCCTTCCTGCTTCCCAATTAATTTTACCCCTTCGGGGCTGATAATTCATCCATTGAGAATACCCACACTAGGGTTGGAGCAATAGCACAGCGGGTAAGGCATTTGCCTTGCACACGGCCGACCCGGGTTCGATTTCCAGCATCCCATATGGTCCCATATGCACCGCCAGGGGTAATTCCCGAGTACAGAGCCAGGAGTAACCGTTGTGCATCACCGGGTGTGACCCAAAAAGAAAAAAAAAAAAGAATACCCACACTAAGGTATACATAGGTGGCTAAGATTAGTTTGGGTTAATATTTGGTTATAAGATCTGTTATCAGCCTCTCCTTCCTTATCCTTCTCAACGCTGCCGTATGGGTGACTCCTTCAGGGTCAGGGGAATGAGACCCATTGTAATTACTGGTTTGGGCATATTGAATACGCAACGGATAGCTTGCCAGGCTCTGCCGTGCAGGCGGAATACTCTCGGTAGCTTGCCAGCCTCTCCGAGAGGGATAGAGGCTTTTGGAGCGGCCTCTAATCGCCGTTCGATCGACCATTTCCACACGATAACCAAATTCATTGAGGTTTCTTGGGAGTTCAAGATGCTGTTCTGTCTAACATTCATTGATTTAAAGAAGGCCTTTGATTCTGTTGAGACAGAAGTGGTCATTGAAGCCCTAGCCAGTCAGGGCATTCAAGCCCAGTACATCAGGATCCTCCGTGAGCTGCGGATTCACTACCAGGGTCTCACCATTCTACAAAGAAGTAATCATGGATGTCAAGAGAGGGGTTCGGCATACCATTTCACTGAAACTCTTCAGTGCCACCCTCGAGAACGTCAGGCAACGACTGGAATGGGAAGGAATGGGAGTGAAGATAGATGGTCGGCAACTACATCACCTCCGCTTTGCTGATGACATTGTTCTAATAACACCAAACATCAGCCAAGTGGCACAAATGCTGGCCGACTTTGACCGTGAGTGTGGAAAGGCAGGACTACAGCTGAATCTTACGAAGACAATGTTTATGAGAAACAGCCTCGTTCCTGATGCCCCATTCGCTCTCAACGGAACGACCATCTCTGAATGCAACAGTTATGTGTTCCTAGGTCAAGAAGTCAATATGAAGAATGACTAGGCACCTGAGTTGCGCAGGAGGAAGAGAGAGGTTTGGAACGCCTTCAAGAGCATCGAAGAAATAGCTAAGAAGACAAAGAACCTCTGGCTCCGGGCACTTCTCTTCGATTCCACTGTTCTTCCTGCATTAACATATGCTGCAGAGACCTGGGCCCTACAAAAACAGGATGGGAACGCTATTCAGGTCTCCCAAAGAGGAATCGAAAGAGCTATGCTTGGAGTATCATGCTTCAGTCAAATGAGAAAAAGAATCCAGAGTTCCGACCTCCGTCAACGGTCAAGAATCAGGGACGCTGTCTCGTTTGCCAAGGCGTCGAACATCAGATGGACTGGACACAAAATGAGATTTGGAGATGTCCGCTGGACTAGAGCCGTTACCGACTAGATTCCATGGGATGTCAAAAGAACGCGTGGCCGCCCACCTACAAGACGGTCAGACTTCTTCGTCAAAACCCTGAACGATCGGTTTGAGGCGCTTCATGTTCCTAGAATGAACAGACGCCATTGGGCTACACTAGCACGCAACAGGGACAAATGGAGACATTACTGGCGCCTGCTCGAACAGATTGATGAGTAACAGGAAGTCAAGTGATCAAGTGATAAGATCTGTTAAAATTCACCTTTATTTGTTAAAAAATTTGTGTGTGTGTGTGTGTGGTCACAGGTCACACCCAATACCCAGTGATATTCAGGGGCTACTCTTGGCTCTGTGCACCGGGTCACTCCTAGTGGGGTTTGGGGGTTGAACTGGGATTAGCCTCATCCAGGCAGGGACCTTATCTCTGAACTGTCTGGCTCTATTTTTTTTAAATTGTTTTATTTAAAATTTTTATTATGTTTTATACGCACATCGGGTAAGGCATTTGCCTTGCACATGGCCGACCTGGCCAACTCAGGTTCGATTCCTCCATCCCTCTCAGAGAGCCCGGCAAGCTACTGAGAGCATCTCGCCTACACGGCAAAGTCTGGAAAGCTACCCGTGACATATTTGATATGCCAAACACAGTAACAAGTATCACAATGGAGATGTTACTGGGTTCTCTCGAGCAAATCAATGAACAACGGGAGGACAGTGAAGTGAGCCATACCTACTGGTACTCAGGCCTTACTCCTGGCTCTGTGCTCAGGAATCACTTCTGGTTGGGGCTCAGGTAACCGTATGGGTGCCAGGTATCAGCCATGTACAAAGCAAACTCCAGACGTGGCTGAGGGGGACCGGACCATATGAAATTCTGAGGGTTGGACCTGGGTCGGCCTGCTGTACTATGGCTCTGGACCCCCATTTTTACTTTCTGAAAGTAAGTTTTAAATTTAGTCTTGATGGGGCTGGAGCGATAGCACGTTGGGTAGGGTGTTTGCCTTGCATGTGAACGACCTGGGTTAGATTCCCAGCATCCCATGTGGTTGCCTGAGCACTGCCAGGAGTGATTCCTGCGCGTAGAGCCATGAGTAATCCCTGAGCATCGCCGGGTGTGACCCAAAAAGCAAAAAAAAAAAAAAAAAATTTAGTCTTGATAACATGGTTATGATCACTTGATCACTTGACTTCCCGTTACTCATCAATTTGCTCGAAGGAGGTGCCAGTAACGTCTCC